GCTGGCCCTGTTGCCAGGTGACTGTTGTCTGAAGCAGCATTTCCCAAAGTCTGTCATCCCAGAAGCTCCAAAACAACAAGCTCTGGACTGCACCTGGGGTCACTTCTCAGAGTCACTGTGCCCACTGGTGGGCGAGAGACTGGGGAGTCTGCAGCAAAGAGAGCAGAATATAGGGAATCTTGAATGTTAGCCCAAGAAGTTTGCAATTTTTTTTTTTTTTAAAGGAAGGAAAAAAAAGAAATCAACCAAAGAAATCATTTACATATATGCATAACCAATGACCAATGGACACAGGCAATGTTGTGGTGAGGACCTGGGGGGGTGGGGAGGGGCTGAGAGGAGGGGGATAAAGGGGGTAAATTGGGGGGCATCTGTAATACTGTCAACAATAAAATAAAATAGAGCCATTGAAGACTACTGAGCTGTAGGTTAACAGGATGAAAATGGTATTTTAGGGAGAATAAATTGACAGAATTGTGGAAACAAGACACAGATTGGAGAGAGAAGGGCCAGCTTGGAGGGTCTATTTCCTAGTCTCCTCTTTTGAAATGTCAGAAATGTGGAATGCTGGTTCTGTCTGCTTTAACTCCCAGGTCATCAATAAGAGCCACTGTTTAAACCAAAGTAGGATAGAAGGATAAGAGGATTTGTATCTTGTTTTATAGGAGATTTCATTTTGTGTCATTTCTCTCGACCTCAAGTGAGCAGGGCTCAGTTCATCACAGTCCTTGGGGCAACTGAGAGGGTTGAAGGAGGGTTCTGAGTTTAAAGTTCTACACCACAGCAGGCATGTCAAACTCGTGGCCCATGGGCCGCACGCCTCATTTATTTGGCCTGTGTTAGCCTTTGAGCTTGTTCTACAGTAAACCAGCCCATAATTCAGATGGTTATCCTAGTTCGTCTCTTTATTGTTGTTATCTTTTCTGTTTATTATTATCCGTATTTTTAAACATTTAAGACGTCCAAAAGTATTTAGACCAGCGGTTCTCAACCTGTGGGTCGCGACCCCTTTGGGGGTCGAACGACCCTTTCACAGGGGTTGCCTAAGACCATCGGAAAACACATATATAATTACATATTATTTTTGTGATTAATCACTATGCTTTAATTATGTTCGATTTGTAACAATGAAATGGGGGGTCACCACAACATGAGGAACTGTATTAAAGGGTAGCGGCATTAGGAAGATTGAGAACCACTGATTTAGACTATTGGCTCTGCCTTTAGCTAGGTGAGAAAAATAAACCTCTGCCTAAGTTAGAATGAGTTCTAATTTTCTAGATCATCAAACTTTCAAAGCCAGAGTATTGAATGATCCTATTTATTGTATTCATTGCAAACATGGGCAACTATACAGTTATATCATTAAATAGTGTTCATCTAATTTAAAACAACTCAAGGCTTTTCTGTAACACATCAGCAATTTTAAATATGTCCATCTCCCAACCTTAATAAAAATCATCATATATTCAGCAGTGATAGACAGTTCTAACTGCTTCTTTCCAGATCTATTTCTGCATACACTTGTGCAATAAGCATTTGAGTGTCTACCACGTATTGAGACTGTTACCAAATGTGGCAGTCATTCCTCATTCACGTCATTACTTCCTGTCAGTGTTCAGAGAGGGATATCTGATCGCTGCTCCCGGAGACTGCTTCAAGACCTCTCGGTCCAACCAGTTGTCAGACCCAATGGGATTCTTAGCTTGCACCGTGACCGTGGTGTTGGGTAATGTTGATCACCCTCTCCTTGAACTGTTTCTCTTGACTACGATGAAATTTTGATGTTATTCCAACTCTCTGAGGACTTGTCTCTTAAGTGTTAGAATGCCTCAGACTTCTGGTCTTGGTCCTCTTTTCTTCTGAAGCTCCAGCCCGAGCTGAACGATCTCATCCATGTGAGATGACTCCCACGTCTTTCTCTCAAGACTGACCTTTTCCTGGAGAACTGACATCTGACTCCACCCTACCCCTGTGGGTTGCCTCTCAGTCACTATCTGAAAATGAAGGCATCATCTCCCCAGATTCCCTCTCTTCCCATATTTTCTGTCCTGGCTAATGGTGTTTGTCAGCTGATCCATCATGGCATTCACCCTTGAAACAGATGCTGCACAAAACTTTCCACCTCCAGTAGCTTGTGTCACTGTTGATTGGGAGATGGGTAACAGGTGTTCAAAATAAAACATTAGGGTCACTTTTTCTGAAAAATATAATTCTCCTTAGCTTGAGATATTTATGGAGTGGCAGGTCATGAGACATCTTGCTTTTTTGAGTGACCTCTGTCCTGGGTGTCAAGGAAGAGGAAAGTTTGGGAACCAGTCACATTTTGACCTATTCCTGGGCGTTTGTCAGGCTCTGATTAAGTGCATTCAGATGGTGGAACTGGTGGGGGTTTCAGGAAAGTTCCTGCTCCTGGGGCTTCATCTCTGGGTTCCCCAGTGCAGCCATTCCAAGCAGCTTCCTGTAGCACAGACTTACACAGGCTGCCCTATGTGCCTTTGCACAAAATTTGTATCTCTGCTGGAAACTCTCATTCATTCATTCATTCATTCATCCATCAAATATAAATGAAGGTGTGACAGAAATCCCAGGCGTAGGTAGAGACCTGAAAGAATCAAAAGCAGTGACTTGAACAGATACTTATACACCCATGCTCACAGCAGCATCATTCACAACCGCCAAAAGATGGAAGCCACCCAAGTTCCCCTTGATGGATGGAAGAGCGAATAAACAAAATGTGGGATATACATGTAATGGAATATAATTCAAAGGAAAATAAAGGAAAATACGATACATGTACCACAGCGATAAACCTTGAAAACATTATGCTGAGTGAAATAAGCCAGGCACAAAGGACAAATATTGTTTGACTCCACTTATCTAAAATATCTAGAAGAGGCAAATTCACAGAGACAGAAAGTAGATTAGAGGTTAGAGGGGCTGGGGAAAGGGGAGCGTGAAGAGTTATTGCTTAATGTGTACAGAGTTTCTGTGTGGGATGATGAAAGGTTTTGGAAACACATAGTAGTGATGGTTGCACAACATTGTGAATGTAGTTAATGCCATTGAAGAGTACACTGAAAAATGGTTAAAATGGGAAGTTTTATGTTATATGTATTTCTCTATATCTATCTATCTATCTATCTATCTATCTATCTATCTATCTATCATCTATCTATCACCTATTTAGGGATGACCTATGTGAGTGAAGTTTCTAGCTCAGGAGTCATGCCTGATTTAACTGTGTACTCAAAGCCCAGCACATAAGGAGGAAGGACACCTAGGAGGGCTTGGAGCTGGGTCTTGAAAAGCTGAGAGATGAGAGTCAGTGGCATCTTATTACATAAGAGATATTTTTATGTTATTATTCTGGAACTCAGATACAGAATTGGTTAGTCTGGTTTTTGCTCTAAAAATGTGGGGTTTTATCACCCGCTATGGAGGGGTAGAGAGAAAGTCTAGCCATGGGCTTGGTAAAGTGATTCCTGGAGACAGGCTTGGACAAGACTGGGTACAGGGCATGGTTTGTTGAGGGCACATGTAGGAGCTGGGTTTAGAAAAACAAGTGAAGGTGCGTTGGGGAGGCCTTGATTCTCGGCTCAGAGAATGTGCGCTGAGCAGGGCAGTGCCGTAGGAGATGGTGCCCTTCCCGTGCAGGCTGGACTCTTCCGGACAGTTTCCAGGAGGAATACACAGACTCATGGCTTCAGGGCATGGCCAGGCGCTGCCCATCCACCCAGGTTGTAATTATGTTAACCAGAACTGGCTTTTCCCTGAGGGAAGGATGGCTCTTCTTTTTCTTCTTTATTTTTTTCCTAAAAGAAATTAAAAATACAAAAACAAAAAAGTTCTCCTCCTCCTTTCCTTCAAAGCACTGTGGCATCTTCAGATCTGGTACTTGAAAGCTAAAGCCGATCATAATTTCCGACGGACACAATGTGCATTTGAAATTCTTTTCCACATCAAATTAAATCTGTCTTGGACTGATTTCCTGGAAGTGTTTTTCATTAGAAATAATAGTCCTCAGCTGAGAGATCACAGAATTCGATACCACAGAAGGGGAAACAGGAACAGAAATAAGGCCTCCTCAAGCGCATCCTCCAGGGAGCTACCCACTGATTGCTTTGGGGGACTTTGCTGGGGGGAAACCATCCTCTCTCTAGGCGTATCCCCAGGGAAATGGCGCTGGGCCTGGTGGGCCACCATTTATTTCAGTAATAAAATCTTTGTTTCTTTGCTGAAAGTATAAAGATGAAAGCAATTGAGTTCAACTAACCAACCAACCAGCCAACCAACCAATCAAGTTCATTGTGCACCGACTGGCTGCCCATCCTTCTGTAGTGCCTGGAGTGTAATGGTTACTAAGACAAAGTCCTTGAAAGAGAGTAAAACTCATAGGAGGAGACTCCAGGGACCAAGACAAAGCTCCAGCAATGTTTGATGGTTTTCTTCCTGGCCTTAAACGTGTCCTTCTGTATAATGCACGCATGCATACTTTGTCTCACCTACACAGAGTTCCGGAATGATGGAGGAAATCCGTCTGAAATTCTTTTCTCCTCCTCCCCTCTGAATCATGACTTGTTTACTTCAGGCTGTTAACAGCCTTGAGAGTGTCTTTAATCCTTAGCCAGGGTCTTTAAATATAATACATCAATAACAGGTAATTATTCACTTTGAACTCTTTGCTCCTCCCCCCATACCCTGCAGGGTGAGGCTTGGAACTTTTAAGCACTGTAACAGATTCTTCCTATCAAAGTGTCAAAACTCATACGGCATATGTCAAGGAATTCGTTTGCTTACTTTAATCTGTCTCCCCTCCTCCTCCTTTTTACTTCTAACTCTAGCCACAAGCTTTGGGGATTATTGTGTTGAGGGCTAGTTTTCATCCCTGTTGGCTTTTTTTTTTTTTTTTTTTAAGGCAGCACTACCTTGGAATTAGCCTCCATGCGTTCAACCTTGTTGCCCTTAAGAGTTGCAAGCAGTTGAGTTTGTTGCTCCTGGCCTGTCACATTATTCCTGTTTTGAATGTATCCAGGGAAATCCTGTCAAATTCAAAACTTCCTTTTGCCCAAACCAATCTTTGATCTGAGTGGCCTAGACACAACTGGCTCTGAGCAGCTCCTGGTGTGCGCATTGGCGCCCTGGGGCTCCTTTCACAAGTATCTCAAGGCAACACGGTTTATTCCGTCAGCAGGGCTGGTGTGGGATGGCCTGGTCTTTGGCTGCTGTGAGCCCCTGGACTAGTCCTGTTCTGAAGACAGCTTTGTCCCAGGGAGCTCTCCCCACATTCTGGAGCGCTGTGTGTAGGCCAAGGATTTATCTCTGCCATGGAGGTCACATGCACAGCCTCCCCATATTTTCCTTTCTAACAGTAAGAATAGCCAAACGATTGCTCTAACCCTATTGCTAAATCATTGCATTAAGTGGTACAAGTTTGGTTCTCCGTTCAAATGAAATCCTCAGTGTCTACCCAAGGCTCCCTTGTGTGTATGAAGGGATTTCCCAAAACATCAGCTAAAGCGGTACAATAATTAGTACAAATGCGGTGTACTCAGAAATGGAAGGCAGAACAGATGGTCTAGGAGTTTTGTCAATATTTCCTACCTCAGGATCTCCTAAGGGGATGGAATCAGTAGTAAACTAGGAGCTTATTTTTAGTTTTAAGGAGTTGGCCAGATTTAACTAAAGGGAAACATTGAAGGTGTTACTTGACATTGAAAAAGTTACCCACATTTCTATATCCAAACAAATTAGATACTTGGAGTTCTGTGATGTTACTATTCAGATGATTTCCCTGCTTTCTAATAATAAAAATTCACTTTGAATGTAGACATAACAAGATCTAACAGGATGTGCTGGAGTCTCACAGGGGAATAATGACTAATGAAGTGGAAACTTTCACTTTTAAATCTGATTTCATCCTTGACCTTGCTAGTGACCTTTGGCCTATTGCCTACTCTTGCGATATCTGTTTCTCCATGATTATGATGGTTATACAATAGCAAAGGGGCCTTTACATGTCATGAAGAACTTATATGATAAGCAATATGTTTATAACGAAGAACATTGAAAAATTCAGACTCTGTCTATACAGAGTCAAAATATCCTTTATTTTAATCAATGTGGTTTAAAAAAAAATCAGTGTTTAGATATCATAAAGATCAATGAACTAGTGGGCTGACTGTACTTTTCCTTTACCCAACAGCTATCTTGGCAACATAGGCTAGAGCTGGAGTGCTGCATGTGCATAATTAACAACAGTATGAAAAGCAAGAATAACATTGTGCTGGTAACCTTCAGGGAGGGTCTGTCTGTCTGCCCACGAATGAGCTCAGCAGGGAGGGTGCGCTGAGCTCTGTAGGGAAAGAAGTCAGATTTAAAGCTCTGTGTTTTTTGAAACCCCAGTGAGCAGAGGGACATCTGGTAGAGAAGATATCCACAGTTTCCTGTTCTCTGCTTTGTTATTCTTTCCCCCATTCTGATTACAGGGTAGGCTTCCAGGGCTGCCCTGGCCAGCCAGGGGCTGGAAGATGGAGAATTATAGGAGGGGGTAGTTGATCACTTTAATTACAGGCCCGGGGGTCTTTGGGGTATTTCTTTCCTTGGGATAATCTTCTGCAGCATGGTTTGCGTCTTAGGGAATCGTGGATTCTTGTCATCACCATGTTGGGTTCCCACAACTCGCTCGCTTTCTTGCTGAAGAACTGTCAGGAATATGGGATCCATCAGCATGAATTTCTCAGCAAGTATGAAGAGTGAAAGGAATTCTTTACCACATGCTTGAATAATCTGACTACAGACTATTAAATCAAATAGATGGTTTAATAGATTTTTAATTATTAGAATTAATTTAAGATAAAATATGTTAACATAAACAGAAGACCACAGGATTTTTTCAATTAAAAAATGGAGTGAAAGGAATTATTGATTGCTTTATAAATAAAGATTTTACTGACTCTAACTAGAAACATGTAAGTATACATCATAGTAAGTATATATCAAAGGCAAAAAGAACTGGCACCAGTGTCATTTATATAAAGAACCTCTAGCAAATCACAGGTCCCCCCCCCCCCCCCCCTTAAACCACGGGACTTACTAACATTCTGCACTCTCTGGGGTTCAGATCCCAGGAGCAATGTTCTGGTGGGTCAGGATATTGTTTCCTGTTCTAGGTGCCACGTTTCTAGGGGGACATTATGAACTCAAGAGCAATAGGACAGGGCAAGACGGTGATGGTGGGTTGTCCCGGGAACCATCTTTGATAAGGATAAGTAATGTATCTCATGATGGAGAAGACTGAGAGTATGTGACATATTTGCCTTTTGTAGACATTTTCATGGGAGAATGTTTAATATCTTAAAGAGGTGAAATTCCCTTCAATATAAGAAATATCTGCCTAAGAATATGGCTTTCCAACCCTGGAGTGGACTGCCTCCTAAGTGGTGAGTTCCTTGCACTGGATACTTAAGTATGTACGAATGTTGGAGAAGAATTACTTATATGTTCAGAGCGAGTGGGGCTACAATGATAGTGAAGCCCCTTTCTTTGAATCTATGTGTGGGTATGTTGTTCACGGTCTTCCCTTCTCCATTTGCTAGAAGGCCCCATCTAACCTATTCGAATTATTCACAGTATTATTATGAAGGCTAGATGAGTGTTAAAGACTAATTAGAAAAGAAAATTAAATCATGACTCATACAATTTCAAAATGAACATGTGTCATTAATTAAGGAAGGACTCGCTAGTTGGCACAGCTGGTCAAAGAAACACATATCTAGAGTCAGGTAAGGAATGATAAAATGAATTTACAAATGGATATAAAGCTGGCAAAACTGTCCAATATCCACAGAATGATAAACAATTGCATACCACTGGATACAATTTGTATTACTCCCAGTTTTCTACACGCTAACCTTTATCCCCACAGAGTTGTGCAGCAGTCTGGCCCAGCAATTTTCAACACATTGTCATGGCACACTGGTGTGCCACAAGAATTTTTAAAACATAAAATACCTGATTATTTAGTTAGGAGCACTGATCTCTTTTCCCTGGGATTGTCAAGTAAAAAAATAACAACA